CCACACCCAACGGCATCGACAGAAAGCCACACTCTACCAGCCAGGATGGCATAAGACTCTGCAATTGGACTCCACCACACGCTGGCGTCAAGGCCACGGCCCACCGCCCCCGGCAGCTCCCCAGCCCGGCCCCAGCTACCTGAGCTAGTTGCTTCTCTTAGATTCCGACTGCTGCTTGTTAGTGTATATTATCAGCGCAATGCAGACGGTCGCCATCGCCACAACAGAAACGGTCGCCACGACGAAGGCTCCCATGACACGGCTCTGAGGAGGCACCTACATGGGAAAGGGGGGTGACCTGGGGCCCCAGCACACCCCCAGAGGGGCTCCCGGGAATCACCAGGGACGGGCCCTGGACAGGTCTGCCCAGCTCTGCTGCGCCCTCCATGGTGACCAGGGGCCGCTTCACCTGCCGCGCCTCCTCCCCAGGGACCAGTCGGGACACCCCAGGGATGGGGCACCGAGAAAGGAGCATCCCACGGCTCTGACCTGACCCCAGTCAATCCAGAGGCCCCTGCGTCAGGGCCTGGCCCTCACCTTGGCTCTGTGTGGCCCTTCCAGAAGGACGGTCAGACCCCCACCTGCCAGCCACCCCTCTGCCAGGCCCCCTCCCTTCTAGCTGTCTGTGGCCCGGGGCCGCCAGCCTCACCTGAGCTGGAGGCGCAGCTGGTTCCTGACTGGGGGATCCTGTACTGAGTTGCCGAGGATGTGGGCCCCGCTTCCTGCTCCCCGCCCAGCCCAGACTTTGTCGGGAAAGCACGTGACCTCTGCCCCCCCCACAGGCACTGCCACCCCTCCCCCCAAGGTCCGGCCAGGACTGTGCAGCCTGAGGAAGAGAAACCAGCCACCAGCCCGCCGAGCGCAGTCGGGTGGGGGTGAGGGGGTCACCCGCCCCATTTTCTCTCCCTCCCTGGGAGACCTGACAGGCCCTGCACCCACGTGGAAGCCACCCCTTCGCGGTCCATCGGCGCCTAGGCCCAGCCTGGCTCCTGGGTCTGGCGGGAGAGGGGCAGGGCAGTGAGCTGGGGTGTGCTGCGGGGCACCCCGGGGTCTGAGTGGAGGCCCGAGTGGTTCCCAGGCCGCACCGGCAGCCCGTTCAGACCCCCGCAGCGGAAGAGGAAGCTCTGAGGCCCCCGGGCCGGGCCGGTGGCCGTCTGGCCGGGAGGATGACCCCCGGGCAGGCCTGGAGGCTGGGGGGGCAAGGCCTTAGGGAGACTGTTGGGGGGCCAAGGGACCCAGAATGCAGGAACCCCTGGCCACACCCAGGCAGCAGTGGCCCTCAGTAATGCATGCTCAGCTCATATTTGAGACTTGTTTTTTCACTTGGCCTTGCAAAGGGGCGCAGCGCGCAGGGGCTCTGGTCCACACTTGCCCCCCGACCAGGAAGAGCTGTCCAAAGGCGAGTCCAGGCCCCGGGTGACCTCTCCCCCGGGGGTGGGCCTGCTGCAAGCGGCTGGGAGTTTCTGTGGGCATTGTTCCACTTTCTTTTCCTTTTCATTTTTTTTAAGATTTATTCATGTGGGGCCCTCCCTGGGGGCGCAGCGGGGTAATGCGCAGCACTGAGAAGCTAAAGCCACTTCCGCATGAGTTCGATCCCCGCCTGCCCTGGAGGTGACCCCATGGCGCGGCAGATCCCTCCTGACCCGCCCGCTGCTCCCCTCAGCAGTGCACTTCATCAGTCCTCCTGTTCTGCTCCCCACTCTGTCTCTGGTGAAGCCTCTCGCCGCCCTTGAGCCTCTGGCCTGTACCCCAGTTCTGTATGCACAAAATAAATAAATCTTTAAAAAAAAAAAAAGATTCATGTATGCATGAGAGCTGGGGGTACTGGCCAGGCATGCGGGGGGGGAGGTGAGACGACTCCCCAGAGACAGGGTGGGGAGCAATACAGGCAGATGGACAAAGTACATTGCTAAGGGAGCAGCAGGGAGACAGAGGGGCCTGCTGCGTCCTGTGGTCACTCCCTCGACGAGGGGTTTACTGTGCCCCGTGGGGTCACTCCCTGGCCAGGGCTCTGCTCAAGCCACCACGCTGTGACAGCTTCATAGCACCAAGACTCAGCCCTGCTTCGCCAGTGAAGCCAGTTTCTAAGGAAGCCTTGGTCTGTGGTGACCCCATACCCAGAGTGACCTCATTAGGGGAGAGGTGATGTCGCTCCGGAAATTCCAATGAGTGGGGTTCTGTGTGGGAACTAGGTCCAAGCCAAATGCTAGACCAGAACTGCGGGGAGCAGTTGTCCTGGCCCGCAGACACTGGGGCTCCTTCATTGTCCCCCAGAACCTGATGCAGCTTCCTCTCCTGCAGGGGACCCTACCCCTGGCCCCTCAGCCTGAAAACCTGCCACTGCTTGTTCACAGTGGGGTCCTGAGCTTCCCCTGGTGCCGTGACCTGAAAAAACAGCTTGGAACACCCCCCCCGCAGGCCCCTGGGAAGCTGGGCCCCCACTCTCTGCAAGGCCCTGTCCTGGGAGGACCCAGACCCTGTCCAGCTGTCCTTCCCCAGTCTCACCCCTCAGGGGCCAGTCAGGGCAAGTTCAGGCACCCTGCTGGGGAAGGGCAGCGGTGCGGGAGGGGCGACAGGGCCACCCCATGTGTTCCGGGTGCTGGGTGGGCTGAGCAGCTCTGGGGAGCCTGCTGAGGTGGAGAGAGACTCGGTCTCCTGTGGAGGGCGGGGCCCTCAGCTGGCCAGGGCCCCGCCACACTGAAGCTGCCACGGCCAAGGAAGCCCAAGGCAGTGGGTCCTCGCACGGATTCCCAGCCTCCACACTGGCCTCCAACTGGCCTCCACACGATGGCTGAGGACAAGCGAGGCCATCAGATGGGCACCCCAATCTGTGTCAGCAGCACCAGGGGTGCTATTTTCCCCTGGTGACCCCAAGACATCGAGGCACTCTGGGACCAAGGCCAGGTGGGGCTCAGACCCAGACGCCCACCCGGGCCAGGCCTCCTTGGGGACACCTCAGCGATGCGTGTCGCGGCAGTAACATGCCCCACGAGGCCAACATGCCGCACCAGGCCAGGGAAGTGTATAGCGGGGTCTGAGCCACAAGGCAGAGGTGGTGGCTGCACAGATCAGAAACGCGGCAGCCAGCTGACCCCCAAAAGTCCAGAAACAGGCCTGGTTTGGACTGGAGACGGCGGGGCGGGGACTGGGGACCTGGGGAGCCCGGGCTTAACAGCTGCCCAGGAACCAGAGGGAATTGGAGGGTGTCTGGGCAGCCACGACATGTCCAGGAAGGAGGGGCAAGTCCTCGCTGAGCACTCCGCGGTAGCCAAGGCTGGCTTCCCTCGAGCCCTGGGGGCCGAGGGCCCCGGAAGGGCCAGGGGGTGCCCTGGGACGAGGCCAGGACGCTGACGCCAGAACATGCCAGTGTCCAGGCCAGCAGCACGCAGGTCCCCTCTGCCCGCGCGGGACCGAGCGGGGTCTCCAGCGCTGCAGCGAAAGGGGTGGAGAAGGGCGAGCCCCCTGGGGCGCGGGAGGGACAGCAGACACGCGCTGAGCCGCCAGGGAGGGACGAAATAGGACAGAGGACCGCGGGCATGGATGGCCGCGCTGGGCTGAGCGGGCCCGTGGTTTCAGTGAGCGGAGAGCCCGTCCCTCCACCCCTGGGAAGTGATCGCGACCTCTGGCCAATGCTCGGACTCCGTGCAGTAAGCGGGGTCACGCGCTGGTCCGGGTCTCCGCGACTCGCACCGCGGCGCGGCCGGGAGACCGCACCGGAGCCCGGCCGAGGCTCCGCCCCCTGGAGCCGCCACCCAATCCCGGGCCTGCCACGCCCCTTTCGCTCTCCTAGCCACGCCTCCCAGCGCGCCGATTGGCCGGGCCGCCGGCCGGGCGGCGAGAAGCAGGTTTCCCCGAGGAATGGGCCCCGCGGCCCTGCTGCGCATGCTCGCGCCGTGACCCCAGCTTGAGGTGACGGCCCCGACCCAGGCGGGGTCCGGGCCCGAGGCTGAGCGCACCGCCGCGGCCCGGTCGCCGGAGAGGGAGGGCCGGCTGCCGTCGCCGCCGGCCGGTGCGCGGTGAGGACAGGCCCCAGCGGGTCGGGAGGGCCCCGGGTCCCCGGCGTGGACCCCGCGCCCTCCCCGCTCCCGGGGTCCCCAGAGCCGCCGATGCTGGGGGGTGGTCCCGGCCGCGTCCCGCGCTCTGCCTGTCACCTCGTGTTTCACCCCTGACTTGTCTCCTTGCTCCTTTTTACCCCAGCACCTCCCATGTCCCGACACCCCAAACCAGGGAGCCCGCCTTTCCTTGGCCCCGCCGGACTGTCCTGCGGGCGTCCGGGCCAGCCCCTCCCACTCGGGGGGCTGTGACCACCCCCCCGTGGGACCGCAGAGAGTGGGGGGGGTACCGGCTTCCGGAGACGTGGGGTTCGGGGAGGCCTCCCTCCGCAAGCGGGAGATCAGCCTGGGCTGACGCAGCTTGGGGCCTGGTGACCGGTCGCCTGGCTCGGGAGCAGCAATAACCGCCCGGGAGACTTGGTCACCCGTGAGGCCGCAGCAGTGAGGCTGCGCCCCGAGTCTGCCAGCACCCCGTCCTGTCCCTGCCGGCGCATGGCCAGGGTGGTGGGGGCGCCCTCTCCCAGCTGCCTCACAGGTGCTGGCCGGCTGGTCGCGGCTCCTGGGCCGCAGGTGCCGGCCCAGAGTGGACAGGGCCTCGGCCTCCTACACAGCTGCTGGTGGCCGTCCACGGTTCCCTGTGGGCCTGGTTGGTCATCAGCGCCAGGCCGGGCCCCAGCCTCAAGCCTTGCTCCCTGGCGTCTCCAGCCTCAGGAGGCCCCGGCTCGGCTGGCCCAGCCCACTGTCCCTGGCACACGGCTCCCACGGTGACCATGTCCCTTCTCCGTCGCGTCTCGCCGGCCTCCTGCTTTGGGGACACTGGTGTTGGTGGCGGGCTAATCCAGGGGGTCTCCTGGTGGGACTGCTGTCGTCTCCGGCCTTAGTACACAGGTACAGGGGTTCCCGCTGGGACCCCGATACCTGGGGTGTGGCAGTGTGGGGGCCGTGGGGGGGGGGTCGTTATCAGCCCCTGGAGGACCTGTGGTGACTGAGTGTTCTTGGCTGAGTGTGCTGGTGTGATCTTGGGCGTTTCCGTTTCTGGGTGCTTGGTGCGCCCCTGGTTGGGGTTAGTGTGAGCGAGGCTCATCAGTGTGGGCCCCAGACCCGGTTAGTCAGAGGCGGAGGTGAGTGGACTGAGGCCCCCAGTCAAGCTGTGCTCTCCCACTTTATATGTCACGGTCATTCAGTCACCTCTGTTGGGGGGCGAGGCCGGGAAGGAGAAGGGGCCGCAGGTGAGCCCAGGGTTTCTCCAGGGCGAAAATGCCCACACTTGTGTGTGGTGATGTCCATGTGGCCCCATCCGCACGGGTTCTTGAATTTGAGGGTCAGCAATATCACTTTCTGCAAAGAAGCCAGCTGGGATTTGGAGAGGGATTGTGCTGACTGCACATCCGTTTGCAGAGCATTGTCGTCCTGACACTGTCTCCCTGTCCGTGAACATAGATGCCTTTTTGTTTACCTGGGCCCCCTTTAACTCCTTTCAACAGTGTTTTGTGTCTTCCAGAATACAACTCTTGCATGCCTTTTGCTAAATTGACTCATTAATACTTTGGGTTTCTTTTGTTAAGATTTTTAACAAAAACTAGGGTGTAGGCCAGAGGTTTGGGGGTTGAGAGGATTCACCAGAGACAGAGTGCGGAGCAGGACAGGCATTCTCCTGACATGCACTGCGGATCACTCCCTGGCTGGGAATGGAAGTCAGGCTGCCGTGGCTGGTGATAGCTTGATAGCCTTGAGACTTTACCTCCTGGGAGGGGTTCACCAGAGAGCCCCTACTTTGTTATTTGTGAGGCTACTGTGCATAGTATTTTTTCCTCTCAATTTCACTTTCGGTGAAATTCCTTGTAGTGGCATAAAAATACAGGGATGTCTGTTATTTATTTTTCTTTTCTAGTTGTTCTGACCAGAATCTCTAGCACACACGTTTGAATAGAACTGGTAACGTCAGCATCCCGTCTTCTTCCTAACTTTAGGGTACACACTTTTGGTTTTTACCACCAAGTGTGCTTGTACTCTGGGCTCTCGTGGATGCTTTCTTCAGGCTGAGGAAGTTTTGTTGAATGTTTTACCCACGCCTGCTTTGTAAGAACAGCCCTGAGCCTGAGTACCCGCTAATTTTCCTCGCCAAGGAGGCATCACTGGTGACTGTCTCTGGACCTGGACCCCCTGACGTTTAGAGTCTCCATTTTTCTTTGTGTTTCCATTTCTCTTTAAAGCCCAGAGGCATGTGGCCCCCACACGCCCTGCGGCCCCTTCTTCTTCCTTCCTGTATTCTTTTCACACCGAACCATTGGGGCTGGGGACTGCTCCTTGCCCCCTTCAATACAGGCAGCGTGCTAAAGCGCTCCGGGCATGTTCTGTTTCTCACCTAATGTAGCTGGGTGGCGCCAGTGCGCGGAGTTAGGGGCCCCCCCTTTGCTTACAGCTGCACAGTTCTCCTGCTGGCCTCCCCTGGGCCTCCCGCCCACCCCCTCCCCACCCGCCAGCACACGGGGAAGGCGTGGGGCCTCCCAGAGGTGGGCCGCGGCCGGCTGCTGGCCTCAGGTGAACAGGGGGAGCATTTAATTCACCAGTGTTTTGCAGCTTGGTGCAGCCTTTAAAAAAATGTAAAGTCAGTCAAGCCCCTACGTCTGGACTTGCGTGAAGGCTCAAACTTAAGTTGGGTCAGATCTTTGCTCCAAATCTCTGCGATGAGCCGAGGGCGAGTTGCGACCTGCCTGCCGGTGGGGTGGGCGAGCGGGCTCCTCGGCTCCGAGCGGGCAGTGGAGAGGGCACGGGGAAGCGGGAGGGGGACAGCAGTGTGAACAGTTGTCATTTGAAAAAAGGTTTTGAACACGTGACTGCCTGAACCGGGCTTCACTGCAGGTGTCGCTGTGATTCCAGAACAGGTGAGGCTGATCCTGACACAGCTCGGAGGCCGTGGCCTGGGGTCGCCCCGCCCGCCCCGTGCGTCCTCACTGCAGCTGCCTTGGCAGAAAGGAGGAAAACCAAACACTTACTTCTGAAGTTGCTCAGGCTGTTTGCTGTGGGGGAGCTGCTATTCCAGGCCAGACTAGTGCCGGCGACTGTTTAAAAACCAACAAAACACCCAAACCCGTTATTACTGCGGGTGGTTTTCACCGCCCCGAGCCGCAGGAGCAGCCTCGCAGCTCGCGCTCCTCCTCTCCCCGCGCTCCGAAACGTCCTGTCGGGACCCCCCACACCGGGCCATTCTGGGCTCACTTGCGCCCTGTCTCCCCGTGCCCACAGCGGGGGCCTCCCAGACGCCCCAAGCCCGGCCTTCGTGTGCCACCCACGGCATGGGCTGGGTTTGCCAGAAGAGCTCGGACAACCAGGGGCCCTTGTCATCCCCTAGTGGAGTCTGATGAGGAAAGGGGGTACCCGGCAGGACCCCGAAGCCCCCAGGCCGCCTTTGCGTTGGAGGCTTCCCTCAGCAGGCCGGGCTGGGGAGGGGCTGGGAGCTCACCGTCCACGGCTTCCGTCCTCCCAGGAAGGTGGGGAGCGGGGGCTGGGGGTCCCCGCCTGAGTCTCACTGTGGCGCCCTTAGCACGCAGCCCCTGCCCGTGGCTATTTAGGGGCTCCCAGAACCGCGTGAGCTCCGGCGTGGCTGAAAGGGGTTGTGATGGAGGACAGTGGACACCCACCTCATCTCACCCCGCCGGCTGCTTGAGGGACTGAGGGCAAAGACCAGACACAGCAGAAGAGTCCAGGCCCAGCGTGGCAGGACAGGGCAGGGCTGAGGAGCGGGGAGCCAGGCCCAAGAGGGAGGCCACCCTCTGTCCCCCGGGCACCCCCACCGCTGTCCCGGGGTGTTATCTTTCTTCAAAGCTGAGACCTTGTTTCTGCACCACGCTCGCCTGAGCCCATTTGGCTTCAGCAGCTCTCCCGGGAGCACCAGTCACGCAGCCACCGTGAGGGCCCACTGGGCCTCCGGCCTCGTTGGGCTCCGTCTCTGTTTGTCGTGACCTTGACTGACCTCTTGGAAGTTAGTGACTGCCAGTGTGGCACAGGCTGCCTCGAGGTTGTCGGGTTCTTGGGCTTCAGGGGCGCAGGGAAGGAGCCCACGGACGGAGCTGACCCTGCTTCGCCTGGTGTCGGGGTGCTGGCACCGCACGGCTCCGGGTGCCGGCCAGGCCGACCTGCGCGACTCGCACTGCAGGTGCTGATGCCGGCGCCTTCTCGCCTCCCCTCAGCGCCTTTCCTGAGCGGAGCTTCGGTCCCAGCAGGGACGCGTCCCCTCCCTGGGTGTCTACCGATCAGTTATTTACGTCAGTGTAGGCTGGGCCGCCTTGAATATTACTCTTTTTTCCTCATTTAGAGAATTCTAGCTGTTTGTATTTAATCTTGCTTTCTAGTCTGACACTGTCACCCGAGAACGGAGGCCTCCTCTTCCCGATTATGCCAAGAAAAGATTTCCCTCGGAGGCCATGTATCTTACTCCTCGAGTGCGAGCGCTCGCCCCTCTCGGCAGCCCTGGGGGACACTTGGGACTTCACGGAACCGAGACAAGTAACAGAAAGCTGGTGGAGGGAAACCTCGTTCTCACGCTGCACACTGTGGCCACTTCCGGAATTTGCTCTCTTGCATTTTTGCGATTCTTTGGAAATAGAAAGCAAGCCCCTGCTTTTAAAATTAAGAACAGGCCAAGTGGGGCCAGGACATAGGTGGCAAACGCGACTGGGAGGGAGAAATCGACGAGACCCAGGGCGTTAAGAGGGGCGCCGGGGCCGCAGCTCCGCGCCCGGGAGGCGCCCTACGCAGTGGCCCAGCTCCTCCACACTTCTATCGCTTTGGCGGTGGGAGGAACAGCAGCAGCCTCACATCCTCCCTCCGTCCCCCACCAACATTTTTTCTTGTTTTCGAGACACAATCCCGGGCGGTTCTGCCCAGGACTCTTTTGGGGCTGACACCCCTGCGTGGCCGCCCGCGTGCCGCAGCCGAGATTGCCTCGGGATTTCGGCTGGTCT